AAATAATAATAATAATAATTTCAATATTAAACAGCATCAAGAAACAAGTATACTGAAGATCAACAGACCAGATAAAACTGGGATCATTTCATCAAAAATATCAGTCAAAAACATGGATGGCTGAAGATCCTAAGTCAAAGAAGGGTCTATACTATAATATATATTCCAACATGCCATCCTCTCTCTTCTCCCCCATTGCTTTTGCATTACCAGCTATTTCAGTAAGTAGAAGTGGACAAAGTGCGGCAAATAAGTTGTTGAACTCTAACTCCCAGCATTCTTCACAATTCATTGTGCTGGTTGGAGCTGATTGGAGTTGTAGTACAAGAACAACTGAATCAAACTGTTTGCCTGCTGCTGCTTCTTTTCTGCTGACTCTCTTGCTGCCTAACATTTGCTGTGCCCAGTCTTTGAGTAAAAGAATGACAGAAACAGAAGAGAAGGCACTCTTTTCCCCTTTTTTCCCCATTAACATTAGAGACAGTTCCCTTGACTCTGTCATTTTGCTTGCTGCCTTGCAGCCTGAGTTTCTCTTCTGCATCTTCAGGGGGGTCATCACATCATCAGACAATCATAAGCAATGATGTGTCAGTTGCATCTTGGAAAGCTACAACCCATTACCTGAATTGTGACAAGAGCCCCATCAGTATATTCTGCCTCATCGAGTTTTGTCACAGGATTCAGAAATCTTTATGATCTTACAAAAGCATGACTGCAACTCTTAGCAACCTGCTGGCAACCACAAGGCCTCTTTGTTTGCATAGCAGCAACTGGAAAACCTCAGCAGGACAGACATCGACATGTATCTCCTTTACTGTATGGAAAGCATTATCAGGCAATGCTAGAGTCCTTTACAGAGTTGTTGTTATACCCCACTTTTTCGCCAACATTGGGTCTCTCGGGAAGCTTACAATATATGGCTAAAAGCATACAGATGTCTACATTAAAATAGAATTAAACTATTCCCATCTAAAGCAATTTAAAATGTACTTCGAAAAAGGATAAAGCAATTTTAAAAAATAAGCTCAATTTAAAAAAAAAAAAAAAAGGATATAGCTTCAGTTCTAAAAGCCTGGCAGAAATTTTATAAAAGTCTGTGCCTAACAATGGATCATTAGAAAGGAAAGGAAGGTTTTTGGCCTCCTTGGGAAAGGTGTTGTAGGCCCTTGGGGCATTCACTAAGAAGGCCTTGTCTTGTGTCCACACCAGTCATGGTGGCTAAAAGGCCATGAGGCCATGTAAGAAGAATAGGTACTTCATGTTTCAGAAGGTTCCTGCATCCAACATGGAAGAAAAAAACACAACCTATATCTTTAATTTCAACATCCCAGGAGTTTAACTGCCCTCAAGTTGCCCCTGACTCATGGCAGACCTGTGGATGAGACATCTCCAAGCCTACTATCCTCCGCTGCTCTGCTTAAGTCTTGTAGATTCATGTCCATGATCTCCCTATTTGAGTCTATCCATCTGGCATGTGATTTCCCTGTCTTTCTACTTCTCTCCACCTTTCCTAGCATTATGGTCTTTTCTAATAAGTCCTGCCTTCTCATGATGTGGCCATACTACGGCAGCCTTAATTTGATCATCTCGGTTTCCAGGGAAATTTCTGGCTTAATCTGCTCAAGAACCCACTTCTTTGTCTTTTGGGCTATCCATAGTATCCTCAGCACTCTTCTCGGACGTAAAATCTCCAAAGAGTTGATTTGCCTCTAATCCACTTTCTTCACTGTCCAGCTCTCACATCTGTACATGGTGATGGGGAATACAATGGCTTGGATGATTCTAACTTTAGTGTTCAGTTTTATATCTTGACTTCTTAGGATCTTCTTTCAGAGCTGCCTTTCCCATTCCTGGTATTCTTCTGATTGCTTGACTGCAGTCTCCATTCTGATCAGCGATTCCTTTCTCTTTGCTTGGACCAGATGTCTTCAACAAGATTTACAGCTGCCTTTGAGTTTTGAGAATTGAATGTATTTCCCAGCCCTGCTTCATTCTGAAATGAACGGTCTGAACCTTCCTGATTTAACCTTATTAGGAGTCATTTCAGCTCATTTTTATGCAGGCAGAGCAACAGAACAGAACAGCTTTGGTGGCTGGCATTGAGACTAGCCAGAATTCCAGGCAACAGCACCTATGTGAAGAGATCAGAAATGACTGGCATGACTTGCTGATATTTAATCATAGAAAAAGTAGAAGAAGAAAAAACAAACTAGAATACTTAATCTTCAACTGCATTGTGAACTTAGCAATATTAATATGAACCAAGACACTTTTCAGTAACACCTCTTACACTGACAGATAACTATCCCAAGGTGCATACCCCCTGACTATCCCAATTTGTCAGAACAGTCTTGATTAATCCTCTACCATCCCACTTCTTCAGCTGCTTTTAAAATGCCCCAGTTTCTTGTTCCTCCTCCCACATTCCTCAGCTTACTTCAGTTGCTGCAAACTGAGTTCAAAGTACAAAAATAGTTTGCACGCATACTTCTAGTATGTAATCAGACTACAGCAGGGAGGAAAGAAGAAAAGGAATATTGCTCTTCCCAGTAGGTTCAGGCAAAAGCAAGCCACTGCAGCCTCTCTTAGTTTGTCTGTTCTTCCTTGTTATAACGTTTGCCCTTTTGACGGCAGTGTGTTGCTGCTTGGGCAGAGGCATCCTGATTTTTCTCTGTGAAATGTTGGAGAGTATGAAGGTGGTTGAATGATGACTGTTCAAGGATGGAAAATACAATCAGCCCTCCATCTTGACAGATTCCTTGTCCATGGATTCAACCACCCACAGCTTGCAAATATCTATCTATCTATCTATCTATCTATCTATCTATCTATCTATCTTCCAAAAAGCAAACTTTGGTCTTGCCATTTTATATAAGGGATACCATTTTACTGTGCCATTGCATATAATGGGACTTGAGTATCCATAGATTTTGGTATCCATGGAGGGTCCTGGAACCAAACCCCAGCAGATACCAAGGGACCACTGTACACTCTTATTTATTAGTCTTTCCACAAGCTTGAACAATAAGTGCCCAAGGTTGCATTTTTATTGCCTGGCAATCACATTTTCATATACCCAAGGCAATATGTGTAGCATGGGGAATGACACAGGTCCAAAACATGCTGCAGAAATATTCCAGTCTGAGATCACTTGAACTGCCCTGGCTCAGTGCTAGGGAATTCTGAGAATTGTAATTTATCGTAGCACTAGAGCTCTCTGACAGAGATGGCTAAATGCCTCACAAAACTACAGCTCCCAGCATTCCCTAGCACTGAGCCAGAGCAGTTCAAGTGGTCTCAACCTGGATTATTTCTGCACTGTGTTTTGAACCAAGATTGCAATCATTTTTATTTGCAAGCCATTTGAATCCCAGTCTTGTGAAAAGGTGGGATGTAATTGAAGGGGGAGGAGGAAGGAGGAGGAGATATTGAACTTGCTCCATGAGGTCCATGGGCTTGCTCTGCCATGTTCAGGGCTTCCATGTCACTCAGACAATGAATCCATTTCTGATTTTAGTGTCAACTCAAAAGGAGCTTTCCAATGTGCTGAACCTATTTGGAGGATAAGGATAGCTTCAACTTTGGAGTAAACACCAGCTGCTGATGTGCCTTACTAAGCAGCCATGGCATTTTGATCCTCAGACCAATTTATATTTAAGGGAGTGGTGTCTACATTGATTCCCCGCTCCCTTGGTTTATCAATGGCCAAACACAGAGACGGAGAGGTTTGCTTTAAGGCTTTGAATGACCTTGTTTCGA